GTATACATTTATATGTATTTAAAAAAATATGTCAAATTTTAATGTACATATCCTTTTATAAATTTTACTTTATTTATAAATATAAATAAAGTAAATAAAAAATATTTACTTAAATCAACATTTATGTACATGTATAAAAATGTATTAAACATTGAAGCAAAGACCTACTCCCTTTTTTTTTAAATCGGACCCAGCAGGCCGTTGTGACACGCATGCGGATTAGTTTTGCGCGTTGTCGACAGATGGCACATGTGATGCAGTGAAAAATCACCAATCATGATTTTTATCGATGATGAAGCTGAGAGGCTGAAGGTACAGAATATTACAGTTGAGAAAGCTAGTAAATACAAGTACCTAGGAGTATGGATATGTGATGGTGCAGAATATCTCAGTGAGCATGAAAAGTATATAATAGGTAAGGGCAACAGAAATGCAGCTGTAATGAAAAATAGAGCACTTTGAAATTACAGCAGGTATGAGGTGGTGAGAGAGATTTGGAAAGGGGTCATGATGCCTGGCTTGACTTTTGGAAATGCAGTGCTATGCGTGAAATCCGAAGTGCATGCGAGACTAAAAATAAAACAGTGCAGAGTAGGTAGGCTGGCTTTGGGGACACATTGCAAAACACCAAACCAGGGAGCTAGTACAAGGAGACATGGGATGGGCGTCATTTGAGAGCAGGGAAGCAGTGAGCAAGATAGAATTTGAGGATTGGTTGAGGCAAATGGATGGGTGGCAATGGGCACAAAAGGTTTTCAGCTATTTATACATGAGGAGTATAGATACAAACTGGAGACAGTGCACTAGGGAGTTAGGAGGGCAGTTTTTAAGGCTATAGTGGACTTAGGAAGAGCAGGTGTCAGTTAAGGCCACAGAAAGAGATTGGTGGCTAGAGAGAATGCAGACAAAGACGGCTCTGGAAAACTATAAATTAAACAAAACAGTTATTGCCAAAGAAAGCATTTATGACCATTCTAGGGGAAGCTCATTGTTGTTTGAGGCGAGGACGGGTGTACTGCAAACCACAACACACAGAGCAAAGTACCAGGAAATGGATACAGTGTGCACTGCTTGTGGAGAGGAGGACGAGACGGCTGAGCACCTGATACTTGATACGAAGAGAACATAGATTTAATAAAGTCATTGGGTTTTAGAAACAGCGAAGGAACAGTGGATTTCAAGACAGTAGAGATTACTAAGCAAATATTAAGTGAATGGTGGCAGAAGGCGAGAGAAAACTAGGTATTTTCTTATTAACTGATGGCAAGGGTGTTTTATAGCCTCACTTTCTTTGCAGTGCGGAGTGAATATAGCTTTCACCTTTAAATATTCTAAGCTTAAATGGTAAAACAGAATGGCTAGGTGGCGTAAGCTACCGCCCGATCCAAAGGGCTCAGCCGGATTCATCCATCCGTCCATCCAGTGGTCGGTAGAGAAGGGAAACCATCGCCAAAGTTGGTGTATTGATAAACGTGTCGTTATGAAAATGTCAAAACCATATCTGCGCTTCTTGCGACCCAACGGTGAACTTCGAGGGCAGAAAGATGCAGTTCAACGACCGGAGGGCAGCCAGGGAGAAACCAGACGGAAGAGAAAACAGCCGCGGAGAGCACAATGGTAAAAATGGCGGAAAGTCTACCCGAACTGGCAGCTGTTGTGACACAAGCAATTGAAATTGTTTGATTGTAAGGTGGGAGCGCAACCGCATCCTATCAGGACTTAACCTGAGCAACGCGGAAACACGGGTGAGCATTTTTCTTCACGCGATGGAGAGAAGCTAGGGACGTCGTCACGGGTGCTGACAGACGCCAGCGGCTAATCTTTCACCTCGCACAAATACTCGCTCTGAAAGGGCGATTCAATCGTCGCAATTAGCTAACGAGGCAACTGAAGCGGTCCTTAGAGCTACGCTGTGCTTCCTTCAATCCGGAAACGTGAACGTCACCGAACCTATTTATTTTCATTCTCGGTTTTTGACAATAAAGACTAATCAACCTTCCAAGTTGTGCCGTGTTTCGTTGCTGGAGTTGGCACCGTTCTGTCAACCAGTTGAATCCAACCAGTAATTTAGCTCGCCACGTGCGCAGGTCAATTTTCAGTTCCCCTTTTTACGGTGAGCCTTGCAATCGTAGCCGCCCTATATTCGCGCTCTTTAGTGCAGCGACATAACGCACGTGTGCATACCTTGTTGCCGATCCGGTTTGGGTGGACGCCGTCGCGGTGGATCCACTGGTGCCACTTGTCAGCTAGCCCGTCAAGGAACGTGAACCCTTCCCTGCGACACAACTCTCGCAGCAGCGAGTTCACCTCTCGGTAACGGTCATTCGAAGCCTCGATCACTGCAGCGTGACTACGCTGCCATTCCAATGAGCAGAACCTATTCTCCCGTCTCGGAAGAACGGCAGAAAAGGCGATCTGCATCATTGGATTGCGTTCACAGATCTGGGCAGCTAGACGACGATATTTGTCGATGTACACGCTGGCACTAATATGGGAATTATTAGTGCCAACGTGTAGGATGACAACATCAAAATCGGGTAGCTTCTCAGACACCAAACAAGTGCTCGATTCTAATACCACTAAACGGCGCAACCTCAACAGCCAACCGACTATTCAATGGCAAGTACTTCACCATCGAATCGCCGGCTACCAAAACTCGAGGCACGTTGGGGGTGCGATCAAAGCTAAAATACAAAGAGTAGCACTAGATACGGAAAAATGTATTGCTAAAAAGAACAAGACAATGCTAAACAAAACGCTTCAAAGAGTGCGAAAAATCAGTCAAAATAGCTTGCGTGACCGGAGCCGAGAGCAGCGTGGCCAGGACCCGACCGCAGAAGACTACAGCGGCAGACGCACATGGTCGGCCACATGTCATAACAAAGGCAACATCCGGGGCCGGGGATGATACGTTACTTCCGGCGTCGAAGGAGTGATTTCCACACAGCCGTCTTTCCTCCGACGCGACTACGTCACTTCCGGCGTCGGAGGAACGATTTGCACACAGGTCCCACTCCTCCGACGCCCGTCGGAGGAAGCACTTCCAAATTTAAAATGTTATTCAGAGCAAAAGCTTGGTTTATTTATCTAGTTATTTCCCGCAGACTTGGACGTAGTTCAACTACTCTACTCAAACTACTGTAGTTTAATTACCTTTCCGAGTAACTTGGTAACTTTCAATTACAACTTTATTTGGGTAATTAGTAGTTCAATTTAACTACGTTTTTCAGGTAACTTCTACTCAAATTACTAACTACTTTCGAAATCTAATTCTAATTTTGCTTATCACAAAAGTTTGAGCGCAGAAATAAGTAAGACGCCGGCTGATCAAGTGGCATTCCCGAACAAGGGACCCCTCACATTCCGTTCTCATGTACTTATACTCGGCAGCCGTAGAAACTGCATCAGGGGCGTCCTTGGGCCAAGGTGGCGACAAACAGCCAGAATATAACACCGGCGCGCACGAACGCAGGAAGAAATGCTTAACAAGTTTGGGTCGGGTATTGGCCTAATCCTGTAATGCACGCAGGCGCCGCGCCTCCAGGTGCAACCGTGAAAGACGGGGACATTCCAAGGGTTGTTGTTTTCATGTTGTCTGCCTTTAGTGAGTTCTGCCTCAAGCGACCTGGTTGTTCCACGGGAAGCTCTACTGGAATGACCTCGCAGCTGGGCGCCTGTTCCCATGGTCGCCTCGTCGGCAGCGCATGGCCTTTGCAAAGCCGGACTCCCCCGCGCACAAACTTAGACGTGGATAATCCGTTCATGGGAGCACCTTCCCGCTTCCAGCTGCAATTTTGCGAGCGACGATGCTTGTTCACGTAACCTGTCGCGTCCTTCCGACCTTCCACGCCATGGAGACCTCCTCTTTGCTGAAAACGATTTGCTTGTCAGGCGTGTCAGGCGCCGGCGAGGATAGCGAGTCACCCTTGGGAGATCCTTTTGTTGGACCAGGCGTCAGCGGCGAATTGTACTTCGTTTTATCTTTCTTTCAGCCAAAATATTTTTTTTTCTTTTCAGTAGCGTGGCACTAGCACTGCAACGTGACGCGCAGTCGTCCGGATGATTTCATCGTCGTGGCGCAAGACTTGAACCCTTGACTGTCAGTGTCCGGTGCACTCACTCAGCGTACTCTCCGAACGTCGTGGGAATAAGGAGGAGCCAGTCATAACAATCTCAACTTGCCGAAGAAAAAAGAAAAAAAGCAGCAGAGTTTGTTATAAAAGACCGTCTAGCCGAAGCAAACCACACATGTTTCGTCATGAACACCTTAGATGCAGACAATCGCTTACCCGACCCTGCACAGCCTGTTTCTGAAATTCAACGCTGCCGGTTTATCCAGCGCGTCGGTGGAACGTCTTTTTAGCTTGGCTTGGGACGTCTTTAGGAGGAAAAAGGGAAAACTTTCGTATCAAGAACTTTGAAAGTCAATTGCTTCTGCGAGCGAATAAACTATTTTGGTGAACAAGCAAGCCATGAAATGACTGCATTTATTTTAGGCTCGCAGGGTTTTTCACGGATCAAAACTGCTGTTCATTTTGCTACCACAAAAATATAAAAAAGGAACTTCGAAAGTAACTTCAAAGTAACTCGCTACTTTTTACAGTAGTTTGTAGTTTACTCCATTACTACTACAAATTCGTAATTTCTACTCTACTCCAATTACTTTTGGCGCTGGTACTCAGTAACGTAACTACCTTTCTTAAGTAATTTGTACATGTCTGAGTTATTGTAGTTCGCGTGCACAGTAAAAGCTGTGTCTAGGGTGTCTTGGTGGCGCTGCAAATGCTTGAATTTCCTTTCTTCTTTTCTCTTTTTTTTTTTTTTGAAAAGAGGGGGGGGGGGGGGGTGGAGCGCCATTTGAAAGCTCTCTGACGTAGTCTGCGCCAAAGTTAGCGTAAAAGTGTTTCGTTTTCGGCACGCGTTAGGGAACGTGTGCTGAACTTTAGTGCGCTATTCTACAACTCCCTATGCACAATAACGGAAAAAAACTTTTATTTCAGCTTTGCAGGTGTGGATAATTGGAAAGACGAATGTAACAGATGTAAACGAGATTTGCCATTCTACTTACAACGAAAAAGTGAAAGAGACTGGTGGCCTTACAGATATTCCAAAATATTATATCTACAATGAAACAACGTGCGGTAAAAGAAAGTAATGCTGCCTTATTCCATGCATATATATATGCATATGCAATAATGTACCAGCAATGAATTTAGCACAATAAAAGAGAGAACTGTCAACGAACTCATGAGCGTAAAGGGAAGCTTCACTGTGAAGACGAGCCATGTGTAATTCAATTATATGGATTTGGGTGGAAGATTTGATCTTTAGTATAAAATAAAACAGAAGGTTACTTTGTTCAAAAAGCTTTTAATTTGGTTTCGCAACCCGAATAAAAACAAACAAACAAAACAGTCTACATCAAACAGCACCATGATGTTTTCACTGTTATTCCTTTTGATAAGGGTAGCCTGAGCACCAGGTGACTATATAACAACATTGTGTTTCTAGTACCTGAAAACGTCGGCCCCCTCCAAAAGCCCGCCGCCAGCGATACATTTCGCTAGCACCTCGGCAGCAATTTGGCTGCGTTTTGGGCCAGGTCTTAGGACTCATTAGCCGAGTTCAGGGTTTGTATCCAATATACATGTGAGAACATATATAACCTATATAAACTTTACATAAAAATTATGATATGTTCATTGGAGTGTCTGTTTAAGTGCGCTAGCAGAGAATTTTGAAGAACCAAAATAAATTCGAAATCTACAAAATACTGTTGCAGCCAGGTCTTATCAAAACGTAAAAAAATATTTTCTTTATTTTTTGTATCCCTCCCATATTCATATTAATTCATCTAGTCGTTCGTGATAGCTTAGCTTTCATGAGCAAAATGAGTGAGCGTGACGATGCAAAGCGAAAATGCTACCCAAATATTCAATAGTGCACGCAAGAGGCGCTGTTCAAAACTTGAGGGCCAGAAAGACTATTTTTGTTAACAAAAGTACTGCTATTCAAAAAAGAAAAAAAAAAGAAAACGCCGTTACGTGTTACAACAAGTACACATATGTTGCAACACTTAATGTTTCCTCTGAAAAGATGATCCGGAGTTTTAGTTTCCGGATTCATACTTTTTCTTTTTATTCCTTTAAAGGCTTGTTAGGGGGGGGGGTTTGCAAGTAGTAAAACGAAATATCGTTAGGTATGTTACCAAAATCTTTTCACGTCCAAATACCAAGTGAAAACAAAAAGTTTCAAAAATAACAGCACTGAACAGGAACAAAACGCAGTACCGCAGTGCGACTCCATGGCGTCGTTCCCGACACTGGGTCATTCCGAAAAGATAGACTACATGGCCAATTCCAGCACTTGGCGTGTTTATCATATGGACGTCACATCGCACGGTTTAAGAGACTATCGCAGCTGAATTAGACCTAAGGTAGGGATATTTTACAAATCCAGGTAGCACTCCGGGTGCTGCCTTCTTTATTTCCCTATCGAAATACATGGAACGAAGATCTTACTGAAGACATGTTAACGGAGAAATTACCTTCCGCATCGCATTGTCAAGAAATCTATGAGTGCCTCTGTTTTCTTCAGAGCAGCTCATGAAAGGCTGGTTCAAAAAGGGGAAGTTTGAAAGAATTCAAACTCTCGTAGAAAATCTCTAGCCCCCAAACCGGGAAAAGTGTGACCACAATACAACATTTCTTAAAATTATATTTTTAATAAAATTATACCGAAGTTTATCTGTGCGGTGGTTGCTGAGCGATAGGACCAAAAAGTTGTCACTGGAAAAAGCATAGGGCCTGGGGAGCTCCTATAAGGGATATGCAATCTGGAGCTGTTTCTGTGGCGAGCCGGAGAAAGTTCACGGCAAAGCCGGGGATGTTGATGTTGAAAACGTTTTTTAATGACAGACTTCACTCGTTGCCACTACTCGCCACGACACGCTCCGGCGAGCTGCGGCGTCCCGGCCCATGCCGTGTTCCTTGACGAAAGCACTGGATGCTACCGATCACGTTCATGAGCGAGGGTTCGGAGGAGGTCGGCATGGCTTACGTGCAGCCAGGATTCGCGATAAGGCTACCGGCCGGACCCCCGAATGCAGCGAAACGCATCGAGCACGTGGAAAGAGAGGCTTCACATCGCTTCCCCCTCTCGGACTGAGCACGGCTTGCCACGGCTAGCTGACGTTTTCAAACCGAAAAACAGAGAGAAGTTCAGCCGGAGCGATGAAACGTCCCGCGGGACCACGGCGCCAATTTGCATACCACTCTAGGTCTACGAGGGAAATGGAGTGAAGGGGCCGGGGGGGGGGGGGGGGGGGGGGGGGGCCGAGGCATTGGTAAGCACGGCACAGTCATTCACGAGCTAGCGTTGAGCTGGGTTCCCATATTTGATTACGCTCTATTAGGTCAGCAAACCTGAAAGCCGGCTAAAGGCTAGCGCGTGAATCCCTCGTCACTGCTTTCCCAAGCCTCGCCCCCTCCCCTTCTCTCTCTATCCCCCCCCCCCCCCGCCTCCTTGCGACGTGGTGTCCATGGAAACGTGCCAAGTGCTGGAATCGGCACCTGTCGTCTTACTGCACAATCTTTTCCGAATACGCTTCCCGGCTTGCCAGTTTGTGCGCTAAAAATCACTGTATGGAGCACAATTGATTCCCAGCTGCGCTCCTTTGTATAAAAAGTAATATCACAATTTTCTCACAAAGTAAAAATAATGAAGACATTGAGCAGCGTGGGCGCATCAAATATTGGGTAAATATCGACAAGAACACATAAGAAATACAGAAACCGCTACGGCAGGTCTTCGGTGGTCGTGCTCAAGGAGAAACACAAATTTGTGAGTCGCATAGACATTTCTAGCCACGTCAAGAATCCATGGAAGACAACTAACAACAGGGCGTCGTTCAGCAAGCGTATCGAATGAGAATGATAAAAACATCGGCAGGCTAATTTATGAAAGAAGTCGGAGTAGCATCGGGGACGTTTCTGAAAAACACAATGTTAGTCATGGTTAGGGTAACCATACCGCTCAGAATTGAAAACGGGACATCAAGGGGAAGGGTAGGGGAAGGAAAAGGGGGAGGGGGAAGAAAGGAAGAAAAAAAGCTCTGCTACATTTCAGTTCAACCTGAATACACGCACTCTTAATGGCGTTTCGTTGAGTATAGTTGAGTTCACAAGTACTTTTCTTACCTATTCTGCCAAACCTAAATATGCCAAATGTAATATTATACAAAAATGCACCGTAAAATAGGTCTCTGCGAACAAAGCGTATTAGAAAATCGGCTGCAAAAAAAGCTTTTTATACTATGTATGTTCTAATACACCGTCACGAGCAACCTTTTTTTTTCTTTCTTGAAACCCCCTATTAGGCGGGTGCCCAGGCATCAGCACCTAAGACTCGCCATAATAAAGTTTATTCCTCCTCCTTCCACCCACCTGGTACTCATTTCGCAAGCAAGTCCCCACGAAAACAAGACCTTTGGCTATATTCAGATAAAATGACAGGACGATAGAAATTAACCTCAAAAACAGGACTGTTCAATTGATGACCAGAAGTTTCATCGGCAAGGTAAAACAATGGCGAGGTTATACAACGGCGAGGTAATACAACGGCCACAGAGAGTCTGCCTTTATAAAATGCCTTTGGAATGTCCTCTTCTTGACGCCTGTTCAGAAACAAACCCTACACTGTACCTAGGAAATGGTGATTCTTTAACCACTAGGTATATTTTTAGGCGTGGCACATTGATTGACCAATTTGTACAGTCACTGATAACTAAACAAAAGAAAGAACTTCTGTGAATATAAAGCAAAGTTTAAATTTTTATTGCTGTAATCCCTGTCCTACCTGAGCAAAAACAACTTGATTTGTTTTGTCAGTTACAATTCTTTTTTTGCTTTTTACTTTTACGTTTTGACTTGATTGCAATAGAAAAAATTACTTTCTAGTTTTCGTGGTGCCTTTTTTGCGTTCTGACTTTATTGCAGTAAGACGCTACGTAGCTAACGAACCAAGTGGAAGGTATCAATAGAGCTCAAAGATCCGATTTTCTCAAAAGAGCACTTCTTTTTGCTCGTGTTCAGCCGTTTATAAATCTGTCTTGGTTGGTGGCCCTTTGATTTAAATGCGCAACAAAGGCATATCAAAAGTATCGAATTAGAGACAAACGGTAATAAAATAGATTAGGGGTTATCTTTGCGTAAAAGGTGTGATTTATTAGTTAATATATAAAACTGGTCTGATATAAATCACGAGGTTCAGGCATGTTTCTATCGGCCAGGAAGGCTCCAGTGCTTCCACAAGACACACAATACCTGATGGTGTAATTCTGCCATAAAGCGGTGCTGTACATTTGATTATGTACTAACCACAGTCATACACGTGGATCTCTAAGCGTCTGTTTACATGCGGAGGACAGCGTTTGAAAGAAGAAACAATCTGAAATCAACCAAATACAGTTGCAGCTGGCGCCTTCCTTGACCAGTTAAAACGCAAAAATTCGTGCCTTCGACCTTTATGTCTTGTATTTTCTCCCATAATTATATTGACTAATGTAGTCGCTTGTGATAGCTTAGCGTTCATGAGAAACGACAATGAGCGTGGTGATGCAAAACTAAAACGCAACTCATATATTCGGCAGTGCACCCAAGGGGCATTGTTCAAAACTTACGGTCCTTGTGCAATACATTTTCGTAACAAAAAAAGTACAAAAAAAGAAAAGAAACGGCGTTCTGTGTTGCAGGGAGTACACATATGCTCCAACGCCTGAAGTATAATCTGAAACAGAATGAACAATCGATAACCTTTACCTTGAAGCAAACATTGCCCAGAAATTCTCTGGAAGACGGAAATCCGGTTGAAGTTTGACTTCATATATAATTTTGCTTTTTGACTTCTTTAGAAGACGGTTAGTGGGGAATCTCGGAAGTAATAAACCGAAATATAGTTTGGTATATGTTACCAAAGTCGTTTCGTGCAAATACGAAATTCTAACAAAAAGTTTCAAAACTTGCAGGACTGGACAGGCACAAAACGCATGTAACGCGGTGCGACTCCATACAATCCTTCCTTGTCGTTTATATAAAAAAAAATTGGAAAGAAAAACAGCAGCGTCAATTTAAGCACTTGGCGCGTTTTTATGGACGT